AGACCACATTTTGTGAAGTTCCTTACATCACTGCCCACTACCGGCTACTGTTTTTAACAAAAAAATCTGAGCCTTTGTGAACTGAGGTCACCTTGGCTGCGCCTAGAGCGGCTACTGGAAGAAGACAACTATCCACATAAGTTTAGGTATATGTCCTAAAATGTTTGTAAGACGTTCATTCGTATACCATGGTAAACGTTTTGCAGGATTCATTACCACGGTTTAATAATTTTATTGTATTATAAGTTTTATTTGGCTCTCTGTACAATCAATTAGTTTACGTCATTGCTATTAGATTCTTTTCTTTTGTGTAGATGGTCAAGCAAGACAAGTTCCTACTACCATCTCGGGGATTTATGACTTAATCCGTCTTGAGTCACTGGTGCTCTCAACCTCCCTCTACGCTGCGCTTCATTGAGCTAGAGCCTAAATTTGCACGCCACTAGACAGCTGTTTTGCATTGAGTCACCACTTGATTTTCTTTATTGTGTTTTATTTATTTATTAATTACTTACAGAAGAAGGAATGAGAAAACGCTACCATTTCTTTTATTTATAAAAAAAGGATTGACAAGATCCGCCATATGAACACCAACAAACGGATTGCCATTTAGCTTACTGTAATGCTAGGTCCAAATCAAAGCAACAAAACAAAAAACAAGGAACAAAACAGAAACGCAACAAATGAGCAAATTTTTGGAAACAAAACAAAATGAAAACTAATGTCCACGTTGCCAAGAGATAAAAAATTTTTCAGTTTTTGTTTCATGCAGTTCACACCAAAAATTTTTAGAGTGGTAATATGTCACGTAAAGATGATATTGGATTGCGAGGAGAAATGCGTTATAGTTTATAGAACTTTTTAACAATGTTCGAGTGTGAACTTTGAAGAATCAATAAAGCTGAACGATCCTGAAATCTATGAAAAAATTCCAATTTCAGAAATGCCATTAACGTAGTTGAACGTTTGGCCGTAACACTAAGATATAGGATACTCCCTATATAATTCAATTAATTTACTCGTGTTATCTACACTCCACTTTAATTTTTCACCCGACATACTGCATATTTACACCCTACATAGCGCCTTCGAACTTGATACTAGTTTCTGTTTCATGTTTGTTTCGTAAAATAGTACACATCGCACTGGCAATGTTGCCTGAAATGAAAACAAAACAGAAACCTTTTGATCTTTACCGACTCGCGACGGGAACGCCAACAGTTGCCAGAAACAGAAACAAAACACGAATTGTTGACGAAATGTTGCCAATTTGTTGCTTAATTGTTAAAAAACATTGAGTTGCTGTTTTGTTTGTGTTTTTTGGTTTGGTGTGGACTCGGCATAGCAGGTTTTGATTATTTCTTGTAAGCTCTTGGTGTAAATAGTCAGAAACCTGTTAGCAATTATTGTTACTGGTTTTTAGCTATCTGTGGAGAACTGTTGGTAAGACTGACTCTGTGCATTGATGAACTGCTTCACAAGGGGGAACGCTATCACATTCATTGCTTGGAATTCCTGCTGTTCTCCAAAATGTTGGGAAAAAATTCAATCTCTTGTCCAAAACCCGACCAGACTTAAGGACTAAGTCACTGAAGATGTGGTCCCCTGATTTCATTTCGTTTTATTTCTCTATTGGTACTTAGTATACTTGCGTGCTTACACAGGTCAAAGTAGAAATTGAATTAAAAAAGACACAAGACAACAAAATCTGTTGTAATGAACATTACTAGGAAAACTGTAAAATATTATTATGATTGTAAATTACATACAAAACTATAGAACAAGCACATCCGAATAAATTATGAAACAGAAAAAGTAAACAAGGACACTATAACACCATTATAAGATATAATGAATTAACAAAATTTCTTTGGGATCATCATAGCATTTAGGCTTTTGCCAGGGCGGCGGCTTCGGTATAAAAAAAATATCAGAAAATTTATTATTTAAGAATTCTAGTTGGTATAAAAAGCTACATTAACAAGGTGAGCTTTAATTCTATACGTAAATAAGCCTAGGCCAGACATTCTGATTGCCTCAGGAAGAACGCTATAGAAGTGGATTCCAGAGTAGTTAGAACCGTTTCTAGTTCTTTGTAGACGTTTAGGAGTATGAAACTTATGCATGTTACGTGAATTGTAACTAAGTACATCACTGTACGTTGTATGTTTTGTATGGGTCCAAATTGTTGTGTATGTAACATAGTCAGATAAATATATATAGAGATGGAAGGGTAAGGATTATTAGTTTGGTCAATGCCTACCTACATGGGTGCATATAAACTCAGACATGCGATGACTCTGGTGCAGCGTCTTTGTAGTACAAATACTTTAGGCATTTGCACAGAGTAATCCCAGTGCAAGAGTGCATATAACATTTTTGAGTGGAAAAATGGTTTTGAATTTAGTTTACATGCTCCTCCCAAGTCATGTGAGTATCAGTACTGAAAAGTTTTACTGTGTCTATAGTATTGACGTTATGGGGACACAAACTTATTACCATAGACATTAAGTGACAGCTTATTCGTTAAAACCCAATTTACTAAATTATTCGTATACCCATTACTCGCAGAGTAAGGTAGATCAATCGATTCGTTACTACAGAGCATTGTTGTGTCATCGGCAAACAGTATAAGGTTTTTGTTCGTAGTTTGTATTACAATTAGGAATCTCATTTACGTATAATAAAAATAAAAGTGGTCCCAGCACAGAACTCTTTGGAACGCCATATAAAACTCGTTTTACTGGAAATAGTGTTGTTGAAGGTTACAAGCTGATGTCTGTCGCTCAAATAAGATGACAAGAGCTTGTTGCTACTACGGGTACCTACTATGGAACTTGTAATGCGACAGTTTTTGTAGAAGAATGTCACTTTGGACTCAATCGAAGGTTTCAGAAGGTTAAAAAAATAGATAGAAGAGCCAAAATCTGCAAGAATTTGTTCCAAGTATTTTAGAAAAGGTAACGCCTTGAGAAACAAAATTGGTGGAGCTGTGGAGCTGTAAGTTTGCACCTAGTATTTAGAGCCCAACGCGATTTGGTATAGTATCAGCACAAGTTGGCAGCACGAGATAAGTTTTTTTTTACTAATCTCAGATACTCTGCACATACGCACTAACTGGTCCACTCTGCTTACTGAGCCCTCCGTCAGGTATCAAGTTTTGGGGCCTTTCTTCTCCCATTTCGCCGGTTCCTCTGGTATATAGGCTCCATGGTTAAACAGTTGGGATATTAAGATAAGGTTACCTAGTTATGTAGCAGTAACGTCAAATTCACCGAAAATTGGTCAAATAAGCAATATGAGGTTAGAAAAAATTTCAATTAGTCATTCGCCGTTTGTTATCAAACTAAATAGTTGTATATTTCGCGGATGTCCCTAAAAGCTAAATAGTTATGTGATAACTTACAGGTTTTGAGAATAAGTTCTGTTTTCATAAAATTATGCACCACACTTTTTGCGAATGGTCTCTACCGTAACAATTTCCAGCATGCTGAAACAAGCTAACTGTAAAATTAGATAAAAATAAGCTCTGAATGGCAAAATTCTGGGGCGCCTTCAGATGGAGAATTGAACCAAGGCTAGGTGTATTCAAAACTGTTGTTATAAAACCTTTTTTTCTACGATGATGTCTCAATAAACATGCACAAAAAGGAGGATATATCTATCTGTATCTATCCTATAGATCTAATCACATATACATTTTTATCGCTCTATCACCAGTAGACGTTAGACTTTAGAAGACGTTTGCACTTTATCAGTAGGTGGCAGCACTCAACTATATTCTTTCGATAATGGTAGGTTGTAATTACAGTAAAGGTAATGTATAAATGCAAAAAATAACTTTGTAGAGGTTATAATTTCCACACTAAGATAATAAAATAGCGGCGCGTAATTTGATCTTATTCTGGCTTAATTTTGACCTTGACGTTTTAGTTCACTAAAATGCAAAATAATAATTTTGACCTTTTTTAACTTCCACGTAACAGTACCAAAAGGAGAAAAGGAAAAACACAAATGCGCGTGACGGGTTGCCGGCAGCAGTGAGAGTGGGTTTGGAAGTCCCGAAAGTGGTAATAAAAGCGTAAGTAGCATCCATATCAGCAGCGGCGGCTGGCCCTTAAATTCTGCAGAGCTGCAGAACTGCCAAAACTTTTGTCTTAACAGAAAAAAGCAGTAGTAATTTGATCATTATTTATTTTCCATGTTATTACACAAATACAAACAATTCCGGCAACGCGACCCCCGCAAGACACGGCGTCGAGTCTGTTTTGTATTGGAAAGCATTATAATCGACCAATTGTGTACTTGACATTTTCGTCGCGACAGTAGCGTATCATTATTCATGGGCCACTTGAAAAGGGTCTGTGCACTAGTTCGACACAAGCCGCACGCGCTTGCTTTTTTGTCTCTCCCTACAAAATCAAATGCGCGATTTAAGCATAAGCATGTGCTGCAAGTTATACAGATCCGTACAGATCTAATGCGAAGCACGATATCTGATTGATCGGTCGGTGCTCGGTCCTCGGCGGTGTTGGCATATTGGTCTTGTCGCGTGACGTGGCTTAAAATTTGAATGCGAAAAATGTTTTTTTAGGTATTTTGGGTCTTACGTTGAGTGACTAGTGACTCACTGACTGACTGTGGCTGTGCAGAAGGGTAGTGCAAGACAATGGATGTGGTTTACAGACTTATCAGCGTGAAACGATTCTGGAAATACACATTTAAAGAAAAAATTGAGCTGAAGGTGTTAGGTCGACCGCTGCCGGACATATTTATAGAAACAGGGGGCGTTAGTCGGGGCAAGGGCTATACGCGGCATTTCAGCAGGGAGATTTACACCAGAAATGACTGGATTTGTGGGTGCAACAGGAAGAATGCCCTTTTCTGCTTTCCTTGCAGACTTTTCGGCGGTGACAAAGCTTGGACGGAGGTAGGTGTTACAGATTTTAGTCCACCTGAGTGAAAAAATTAAGAAGCATGAAAACTCTAAGACAGATCTTCATAATTCGATGAAATTGGCTTTATTGGGGACTGTTAACATCAGAGCTCAGTTAGATTCAGCATATTGGGGAAATATACAACAGCATAATGATACCGTTACAAAAAACAAGTACGTTCTATTAAAAATAATCGATTGTATAAAATTTTGCGGAACATTTGAATTGGCGCTACGGGGCCAACGACGAAACCGAGAGCTCCCAAAACCCGGGAATATGTTGTGGACTGATTAATTTTTCTGCTGAGCTTGATACAACCTTAAACGAATACATAAAAAATGCTTCAATATTTAAAGGAACTTCGAAAGAAATACAAAACGATCTACTGGATTGTATGCTTGACGTTTGTCATGATGAAATAATAAAACAGATTAACAGAGTCTCGTATTTGGCGATAATAGCAGATGAGAAAACGGAAATTTCGGGGACAACCCAACTGGTAACAATTTTCAGATAAGTATTTGATATCAGCCATTTAAAAATTCAAATGAAATACCTTTTATATCGTGAAAAATTATCCAGATAGTCTGACGTTAAGGAAGGAGAGTTGCTATTCCGTTGTGAGGAGACCTGAGGTAATCCAAGGGGCTCCAAGGATATTCAATGGAATGCTGCGCTTGCGCCTTTCCATTACAGTCCTTAGTGTACTGATTTTTCTTACAATTCTATCAAGTGGCGAGTTGAGGAGTTTCAAGCAAATATAGACATGTCCAAGTAGATCCCAGGATTTCAAAGAGACTCAATGACCCTAGAAAGATCCAAATACTGAAGGAAATTTTGCGGAGAATATCTTTTGTTCTAAAAATTTGTCATTGGCTAGCTCGGTGCTGTATACATTACATAAAATCTCATCCACAATGGTTCCCACTAGTCCTCTATTATGTCACTACCATTGGGCGCAGGTATTATTCTGAAAATGGTAAAAAATGATAACTATAGACTGAACACCCTTTATAATATCAATAGTTATGACACCTTCTTAGGATGTCATGAATCTATAGGACGATGTCAATTGCCATACTCACAACATTTCTATACAGATCCTGTGTGGTAACTGATTTGCTAATAAACCAGTCCATTGTCTCGAGTTTCTCAATTAGGGAGGTTTCTTTCAACCAATACGTCTTTCCTATTCATTTTGGACGTTGAACGTAAGCCTAAGGCGCGAATTACACTGAAAAGGCGTAAGGTGAAGGCGCGGCGCAGGCATCTTGGCGCTTCAAAGGTTTTCAATACAAAATGTAGGTAGGCGACACGTTGTGAATTATACTCAAGCGGCGTGGCGCAGGCACGTCGTTTCGTCACCTGTTCCGCGTCGCTAGCAGTCGCGACTGGAGTGCTGCGCAAGCAATACGTCGTTTGTTATACAGGAGGAGCAAAAATGCGTGACGATAGTGAATTTAACTTACAGTTCTGCGAGATAGTTGAACAATATCCAGCTCTTTACGATTATAATAAGCCGGAGTACTCTAATAAAAATATACAAGACAAAATATGGAGAGAAATAGGATTAAAACTAGGTGCAACAGGTAAGTACTTTATTTTTATTTATTAATTATGTCTATTTTGAAATGGAATCGGAGATCGAGTTGTCATGTATGTTGTAAGATATTCTCTGATGATTTTAGGATCTTCCCTTGTTTGTTGCACGTTGATGTTTGTTCCTATTAAACTGTTATTAAAACGTGGAACCACGAGTTTCCCATCATATTTGCGGATAACATTATGCAAAACGCTCATAGCTTTTATAATGCTATCGACATTTTCTGGATCGCAGCAAACAGATGTGCTAAGGACGCTAAATTTAGTCCTTATCATACCAAAGGCACATTCCACTGATTTTCGTGCCCTTGACAATCTGTTATTAAATGCTCTTCTCTCATTTGTTAACTGATTTCGGCCATACGGTTTCATTAAGTTTTTCTTCAGAGGAAAAGCTTCATCAGCAATAAAATAATAGGGCACCATATTCGTTTTTCCAGGCAATGGAGTAGGGTGTGGTAAATTGAGGTTTCCTTGTTCCATAGCTTGCCCAAAGTAACTAACTTGGAATGCACGCCCGTCACTGTTTCGGCCATATTCGCCGACGTCTATAGTTAAAAACAGGCCATCTGCATCTACTACTGCCATCAATACGATAGAGAAATATCCTTTATAGTTTATGTAAGCTGAGCCAGAATTTTTGGGTGCTTTAATTCTTATATGCTTTCCGTCTATACTTCCTACGCAATTTGGTAAATTCCATAAAGTGTAAAAACGTTGAGCAACTTCAAGCCATTTTTGTGTTGTAGGTATTGGCATATATTCCGGCTGTAAATATTCCCACAGTACACGTGAAGTTTCTTGTACGATTTTTTGAACGGTAGTGCTGCCTCTCTGAACATATGTAGAAAGCGATTTAAACGAACATCCATCTGCATAGTATCTGTAACAAAAAAATATAGTTATAATATGTACACGAAACTGAATCGCGCTTGACCAAAAATGAAACTTAAGCCCTTTCGCACGCGACAGTATTGTATTCATGTAATTGTCTGGTGACACTTTCTTACATCACATCCATCATCCATCCCTTTCATGCGTCGGATGTTAAAAATAATAGTATATAGATAGATACATCTATTCATTTACAAATAATAATTTAATTTACTGTGTGTTGATTTGTAAAACAGCACCCAACTCAGGGTGCTTTCTACTCTTCAATACGAACAACTTTTACTAGGGGACCAACTGAAAAATCTTAGAAAAACAGCTGTTCCATGCTAAAATTTGATACCTACTGAACAAAATGTATATAGAACAGCTGTTTTTTTCAAAGATTTTTAAGCTGCTCCCATAGTAAAAGTTGTTCGTATTGATGAGTAGAAAGCGCCCAGTCGAAGTTGTTATACAAAACAACAATAGGTATTATATCATCGAATAAAATTATTGGTTTTTGTTTCAGCTAAAGACTGCAAAGACCGATGGAAGAACATCAGATGTAGTTACTCAAAGAATAAGAGAAACATGAGTGCTCCATCTGGATCTGCTGCGAAAACACCTAAAGAGTACTACCTTGCACCAAACTTGCGTTTCCTAGACAGTTTTTTAAAATCCCGACCCTCTAAAGGCAATTTGGGGAACGATGCAGACCGAATCGAAGATGAAGACGATTTGACATGCATGTCTGCTGGCTCACCTGCAGGTGAACGGCAGGCGACTGATTTTATCACGCCACAACATACACAGCCGCCACCAAAAAATAAACAGATTCGTATAAGTGATGTTAATAAGACAGCGCACGAATACTTCACCCTAAAAAATAAACAAATAATTGCACGACAACAAAATATGGACGAAGGAACAAAAGTAAAAAATAAGGACGATTCAGACGCCGACATGGCCTTTTTCCGCAGCATGATGCCAGATGTGCAAACAATGAATCAAGACCAAAAACGAAAATTGAAATTGGGCGTACTTAATTTAATTGAACAAATTCTAAAAGAGCCAATCACTAGTCGTATTTCATGTCCGAGAAGTATAACTCCTTACCAAAGAACTCCATCACGGGAGTCAGAGTATAATTCACCTGCAAATGTGGGATCTTATGGAAGTCCAACGGGATCTTATGGAAATCAATCACCTCAGCAGACACATACGTCTGACGCATATGGAGGTCTGACACTTCAGCAGACACATACAACTAGCGGATACGGAGGTCTGACACTTCAGCAGACACAGCCGACACTTCAGCAGATACAGCCGACACTTCAGCAGACACAAACGACTGGCGCATATGGAGATCCAACACTTCAGCAGATGCAAACAAGTGGTGCTTACAGAGGTCGGTCACCTCAGCGAGCTGGGACTCAAATTTATTTGCCATTGTTTTCTCCAGTTACTTCGGTTTCACCTCCGTCACACCAGAGAATTGAAGCAGAAAGTCAACCTCACGATGGTGATGTGAATGATTCCAATTATTAATTTTTGCGGTAATGATCAGAGATCGGAATTGGGTGTGTGAAAATACCTAAACTTTGCAGCTGGACATAATATGGAACTGTTACAACCACTTAAGTTGAACCAGTTTTGAATTTTCACGGTTCAGTTTCAGCTTTTTTGTTTTACATCTTCCCGCTAATACAGTTTTAAAATAATTTTGGTTTTGAACTTTTCCGGTTCAAATTCGGTTTTTTAGTTCTACTCGTTCTTTACATAGTTTAGTTTATAGTTGGGTGTTTCAAAGTTAAGGAACATGTAAAACAAAAAAACCGAAACTGAACTGGTAATATTCAAAACCGGTTCAAATTAAGTGGTTGTACTCCATGTTATGCCCTGCTGAAAACTTTAGGTATTTTCTTTCACACACCCAATTCCGATCTCTGGTATTGATAGATAGCAAACAAGTCCTCCTGATTGTCAAATCTTAGTCCAGTTTTCTACTCAAACATCAAACAAATAAAAGTACCTATATAAAAATGCCAAAGATGTTTTACTAACCTTAATGTTATCAATAGTCTTTCTTCAGGACAGATCGGTTCTCTCCAATTTGTATGCTTCTTCTGAAGACCGTGTCTCACTTTCGACAATACAATGTGGAAACATTCTAGTGACATTTTATACACTGTAGGAAAACGATCAGGATATTCGCATAATTTTTCCATCATTTTAAAATATCTATGCTCTTGTGACATTCTCCACACAGGGTGCACCCAATATCTTCGGTGTCTCTGCACATTAATGAGCCAACGCATCTTCGTCGTCTGAAGAGGAAGACATGCTATCACGATAAAGTCACCCTATGTAATGACTTGTTGTGCCATCTCTTCGCCTCTTTGATATAATTTAAATCGCATCCGTGCCTTATCTGTGCCACGCCTGCTCTGCGTCTGCGCCGCGCCTTCACCTTACGCCTTTTCAGTGTAATTCGCGCCTAAGGAACTGAGATGTCATGAACCTAGAGGACGATGGCAATTGCAATACTAATGATATTTCTATACAGATCCTGTTTGGTAATTGGTTTCCTAAGAAACCAGTCCATTGTCGCGTGTTTCTCAATCAGGGTGGTTTGTTTAAACCAACTCGTCTTTCCTATTCATTTTGGACGTTGAAGATAAGCCTGAGGAACTGAGATGACATGAACCTATAGGACGATGACAATATTTCTATACAGATCCTGTGTTGTAATTGATTTGCTAATAAACCAGTCCATTGTCGCGAGTTTCTCAGTCAGGGTGGTTTGTTTAAACCAATTCGTCTTTCCTATTCATTTTGGACGTTGAAAGTAAGCCTGATGAACTGAGATGACATGAACCTATAGGACGATGGCAATAGCAATACTAACAATAGTTCTATACAGATCCTGTGTGGTAATTGATTTGCTGATAAACCAGTCCATTGTCGCGAGTTTCTCAATCAGGTTGGTTTGTTTCCACCAATTCGTCTTTCCAATTCATTTTGGACGTTGAAAATAAGCCTAATGAACTGAGATGCCATGAATCTAGAGGACCGTGGCAATTGCCATACTAACAATATTTCTACACAAATCCTATG